CTTAATTACATACAAACAAACAAACAATTGTTGCGTTATTTTATTAAATTAAAATGACTTAGTGCACTCCTATCATTAGTATGAAAAAGTAGTATTCAGAGACTTATGTATTTTCATACTTTTTTTTCTCTCTTGTGAAAAAAAAACCTCTCAAGGAGACTCTAGAACGAATCAACTTAAAGCGGGGTTGCGCCTAGCGGGGTCTTAACGTATTTCTAAAACTTCAGAACTAATTTTACCGATTTCATCTAACTATCTATATAGAGAATAGAACGAACTAATTCTAGTGCTATTCTTGTGGATTTTAATTCAAGTTTTGAAAATTTCTGAATTTTGACACTATTTTTTTTTACTATTACGAAGTTGCAATGCTAAAATCCAAGGTTCGATTTCCAGCGGTAAACACAGCAGATAGCCCAATGTGGCTTTGCTGTAAAGCACACAAACACACACACACACATTATATTACTACAAAAGTAATTTAAAATACAGTTTTCATGCACGTTTTTTGCTCTCTAGGTGGCAGCACCAAAACAGCGTATGTATTTTTTTAACATGGATTAAAAAACGGTGTTATTGATATTGTTACAGATGGACAGTTTCATTGTAAGGTAGGGTGATCTAGGTAGTTACTATTAATTTCTCATCAAAATAAGCTACATAAATCATAAATAAAATGTAATTAAATGTACTCTTCTTACGTTCTCTCTTATAAAGATTAGATGTATTTGTTTTGAACTTCGCACAGAGCTACACGAGGTTGTAAACACTTTCAAGTCCGTCAACCAGTTCTGTGAAGGAAAGAAAAAGAGGGTGAGTTTGTTATGGATTTCGCACAAACCTACACGAGGGCTATCTTCGCTAGCCATACCTAATTTATCAGTGAAAGGCTAGAGGGAAGGCAACTAGTCATCACCACCGACCGCCAACTCTTGGGCAACTCTTTTACCAGAGAATAGTGGAACTGACCGTCACATTATAATGCCCTCACGGCTCATAGGGCGAGCATGTTTGGTGAGACGGGGATTCGAACCCGCGACCCTCAGATAAAGATTAGAATGTATTGTTTTTCATTAGTTAGGTACCTTCGTTGTTAGCGATATCTTCGGCCTTAATTCCAATAATATTTCATATTTCCTGAACTGAAAATTTAGGATAGTCCTAAATCCACATACTAAGATAATAATGTGAAATAATAGTTATAATAAAAATATAATAATAATAAAATTAAATATAATAAATTAGAATGTTAATGGAAGCAAGCTCATTGTCGTTGAATTTTCACACGAAGCTTCTCGGCGTTAGCCGTCTATAATTTTGAAGAGAGAGAGGGTAGATTGAAAGCTTCTAGCCAACACAACTCATCACCAACTTATTGTGCTACTCTTTACCAACGAACTCTTGGGTTATGCTTTATCAACGAATTATGAGATTGCCCCTTACATTATAACGCCCTCGCGGCTGAAAGCGTGACGGGTTTCCATCCCGCGATTCTCACAGTGCTAGTTGAACGCCCTAACCACTAGGGTATACCAGACCAACGAAAGTAAACCTAACGTTAGGGATAAATAGATTTTACATCATACAAGTGAGACAAAAATAAGCTTCAATTAGAATTTTTTTTTCTCTTAACACGGCGCAACATGAAATGCGTTTCGCTAAATGCACCTAATGAATAAGGAAGTAAAAAGTACTCACAATGTAGTACACCTACGTTCCGCCAGAAGGGACTGGGTAAAAACAGTAATTGTAGCTGCTACGGGGAAGATTCTATCTTTTAAGAGTTTGTATTAGCTGTCTACGATATATACTTCGCAGAGATTGAACCTCGCATTCTGGCGTTATAAACCCCAAAGCTTGCCACTGAGTCACCAGCGGACTCTTTTAACTTGATTGATTTAAAGCAAAGTCCCATCGGGCTATCTGTTGTGTCCATCACGAATAATCGAACCCCGGATTTTAGCGTTGTAAATCCGTAGACTTAACGTTGCCCTTTAGGCAAACAGCTCTTTTAAGAAAACAGGAAAATCACGTAGAATCATTAGAGCTTGGAGAGTCGATTCACAAATCAACAGTTTAGATGGAAACCCGAGTCAATCCTATCATTGTCACATAGCTACTGGTTAATTAGACGTTGTGTCGGATATAACAACAGGATACAGAATGAACACATGTACATAGATTACTTCGATTAGCAATTGTCCTATAGTTATATGACAAGGAGAGTGTATTTATTTTTGCGAAAATCTACGAAGAATAGATATAATAAAAACCTTATATAAAGCTATAAGAAAGGGGGAAAACGTCCCATTGTGTTATTTAAAACATTCAAGTTTAACTGAGATCATCAGTTGATGATAGCAAACCAGAGTTGCTGAAACATGTCAGACCAAACTGAATTATTTTAATTCACGTGGTGTGACGTTGTCCCTTTTTTATTGTGTTATCTCGATTTTAGGACGAAATTAATTCTTTAATAAATTACCTTATGTCACGTGCGAAGTATATTAGAAAGTTCGCAATTTTTATTATATGTTTTCACCTCTTGCGATCAGTATTCTCTACAAATTTAACAAAAAGCACGGATAGATCACGATGAAATGATGTCCAAGTAGAGTAAAAGCTACTGGCAAATATATCTTTGGTAAACTAAATCAATAAGTTGGTATTTAAAGATAATATATTATAAATTAAATCTTGTTTTATGTGTGTCATAACCAATAAGAATAATGTTACATTAGGGACTACTAACAATCATTCGCCATTTTCACAAAATTACAAAACCTACGTTAGAGAGAGGGGAATAGGGGCTATGTAGGTTTTTCAATATATATATATATCGCATGAGCGTAATGTTCTATACACAAATAACTTTCAAATGTATACACTAGTAGCAACTGAGACAAATTTTGTGGACTTAAACACTTCCTTTCCGTTTCCTATACCCAGTTAATAATGAATATTGTCCCGTGTCATCCTTTTAAAAAAATACCAAAACTGTGAAAGGCCACGTCTTTAACTTGTAACTGATAGACTAGAGCGAAGGCAACTATCCAACAGCTCCCCCTCACGGCCAACTTTTGTTCTAATCATATAGTGAAATTTTACTGTTACTCTTATAACATACACCTGGTTTTATATGGTAACAATTTTTTTTATGTTTTAGGTAATTTTCACTCTCTTCAAACCTCTATTACCACCATACGTTAATGAATTTGTTGCAATTTCTATGTAACTATAGTTACGGCATTGTACTTCAGAAAAAACAGCAACAACGACTTTGTTTTGTTTTTTATTGATTTTACTATAATGAGATGTTGTTTCCCTTTTCACAACAAAAGGCATAAACTTGTTTGTGTAGACTGATAAGTCAGCGTTTTGGACGGTCAAACGTGTTCTAGTTTTAATTTCTGTTTTTAACGGACAAGTTACAATCCGCTTTCCAGTCACAGACTTTTTTTTAGATAATTAAATTTGATTTTAGACTAGACTTCAAAGAGCTTTTGCAACATCACCATTTGATATTCCTCTCCTATTGTTTTATTAGAAAATCAAGATATATTTTGATAATTAATTATTTTCTACCCAATCAAAATATCGCATGAACAAAAACCACTGGAAAAAATAGCTGAAAATATTTCATGATGTGAACAAAATTACCTTTTACAGCATTATCTATATGCCATCTTTTAATATTATCATAGTATTTATACTTATTTTGAATCTGATTTGTCATATTTAGTTGGATCAGGCTGATGAAAAGGAACACACTGCGACAGTAGTATGTATACAAACGTAATATAAAAACATATCATAAATAACTTCTTTCTGTAGAATGAATACTTGAAATTGATCCTTTTTACTGACTGTGTGTAGTTTACATAACACGTGGTCAAGGAAACTGTTAAGTTGATTTTGTTTCAAGTTTCTTCTGTTCTTGTGACATTTTCCAAGAAGGTGAGACCTGTTACAACCTGCTACATGAGACCTTGTTTAAGATTAGCGCAATGCCCTTTTCTGGTTGTACAGGTAATACCTAGAGAAAACGGCTACATCAGTGGGTAGAGACCTTTAATTTAGTTAGTATTATCCAAGTATAATCTGAGCCGTCCGTCTATATCTAAGCAAGTACACATAATGTGTTTTTGTTCATGTGTGTAATAAAAATTGTTTTCACTGTGATTTATACTTTGTGTCCAGTCTTCTTATCCCTCAGCATTAACTCCGCTTGGGCAAGTTCAGCATTGTTTCACAATTCCGTATTTTCATCGACTATCCTGTTTGGCGGACTTATCCAGATCACCTTAAAATATCACATACGTATATGTGATTGAGTTTTATGTGGTAGTAAAGCTATGATGATAAATACGCTCCATCTTCATATGACTCACGTACCATATTAACTCGTTTTTTATTTAACGTTATGACTCACGTACCATATTAACTCGTTTTTTATTTAACGTTATGACTCACGTACCATATTAACTCGTTTTTTATTTAACGTTATGACTCACGTACCATATTAACTCGTTTTTATTTAACGTTATGACAAAAGTGATTCCTAAGAAGATATTTTTGACACATTTATTTTTCATGTCAATACCAGAATTCATCAACTGGGTTGAGCTCTATAGCAGTGTTTAAAAGTATGTCTGAAATACCACTTTCCCCGGTGGCTCAGCAGTTAACCTAAGGGCTTATAACGTAAAAAATTCAGGTTTTAATACCCGCGGTGGGCACAGCACTCGTAGTTCATTGCGTATCTTTGTATTCAATAGCAGACAAACAAAACAGCTGTATCTGTACAAGAAATTCAGAGCAGCAGTCAAATATGATTTTATTAAGCCTAATAAAGCATCCTTGTTTCGCCAGTTTGACAGTTCTACACCACAACAGTGTATTATATATATAAATATTTGCTGTCATTGTGGGATTTTTACCCTATTTTGACATCAAGTTAAGGTATTTCTGTTTTTATACTCGTGGTCAGTTAATTTGAGCATCCGAAGCAAAGATTGGGAATCATTCATTGTCTTGATGCGTAAATAAATTTTGCACAACCAGCGCTTTGAGATCATCGCCTAGAATTAGATATAAGTGGATGATATACTACAGATAAATCAGGGTCAAAATAACGGTTCAGAGTTGTTGGAAATATATCAGTATTTTCCCTTTAGTTTTATATACAGCGTTCGTGAACAAAATAATTTTAACAACTGTGATAAGAAAAGAGAGTCATTACCTCGAAACGGTTTGTAACGTACTTTATATACAGATATCTGGAGTTTAAAGAAATTACGTGATTCACATGCTCGTGTAATCATACCTTTTATTAGTGAATGATTTTTGAAGCAAATTTAATCAATGTAATGACACATATCTTAGCATTGTTTTAGTGAGTATATTTTTAACCAAACTATCAACGTATTGGTCTGGAAAAATCATTGTTTTTATTTTTAACCATTATTGACAGATAAACAAAACATACAATATATTTTGTTTGTTTCAGATGCGCTCAAAGATACAGAAAGGTTCTCTGTGCATAGCAGTCAGTAATTTTGAGCTGAAAAACTAAGATGGAAGAGAGTTAGTCAAGAGCATACACCGCCAACTCTTGGGTTACTCCTCTCTAACCGAATAATGAGGATTTGACCGTCACTGTTATAGCGATCCCACACTCTCAAAATGAAGAACTCGTTTCTATAGCAGTGAACCACGAATCCTCGGATTCACAGTCCGAGCATTCTAACAATAGACAACGCTCGGTCAGTAGGTGTCTGTCGAATTTGTGACACGAAACCACGAATCCTCGGATTCACAGTCCGAGCATGCTAACAATAGACAACGCTCGGTCCGTAGGTGTCTGTCGAATTTGTGACACGAAACCACGAATCCTCGGATTCACAGTCCGAGCATGCTAACAATAGACAACGCTCGGTCAGTAGGTGTCTGTCGAATTTGTGACACGAAGTGTTTTTATGTACTCAAGAACCTTTGTTGCTGTTGTTGCTTCTGCTACAATAGACAACGCTAAGTCCGTAGGTGTCTGTCGAATTTGTGACACGAAGTGTTTTTATGTACTCAAGAACCTTTGTTGCTGTTGTTGCTTCTGCTATTTTTGATGTAAGTTTCTGATGTGACCTTGTCGAATTTGATGAATGGTCTTACGTTACAACCGGCATATGTGTATTTTCAAGAAAAGCATAAATGGTTGTTAAAAACCTACTGATATAAACGTGATGACTAAAGTAGTTTGCCTGTGCGCGCACAGTGTTATCTCTAGACTTTAACCCTCGTTAACGAACATCCAAAATTAAGTGCGACGCTGTCCTTGTCGCTTGATATTCCCAAACTCTGTAGAACTATTACAGTGTAAAACGGTTTAATCACAAAGGTGTCCAATTTCAGATTGTACTGTAATACTTGAGTCGCACTTTTGCGGATCAGAAGAAACCCGAACTGTATGATACAACACGCGCACATGGAGGTTCAACGCTTACGTACTTTGCCTCCGAACGTTGGAACTGTATGCATTATATCAGTTCTAACTCACGTTGCTCTTCCCGTACAGTGTTTCGATATCTCGTTACTGGTATCATCACAAGACCTCTACATATACATTGGCGAGTGTGGACATTTTCTTACTTATTTAACTAATTCAGTGGACCGACCCGTGAAGGTGGTTTCGACCTTCGAGAAGAAAGGAGTTTTATTAGAAGTAACTGGAGATGGAATTATTAACGCCAACAGTAACGACATGTTAAACTTTACAGTTACTAGCAAAAGACCGGGACAAACGACTATCTTCTTAACCACTTCGGATTCAAACATTGACGTTTCTCAAGCATTCGTTCGAATTTTCGTTCCAAGGTCCCAGTTTCTGGATTCGTTGAGTGCATTGTTTGGATGGATCTACTTCATAGCCTGGTCCGCGTCTTTCTACCCACAAATCTACACTAACTGGAAAAGACAAAGTGTTGTCGGTCTGAGCTTTGATTACGTCAGCTTACATTTCTCTGGGTTCGCGGCCTACGCTTTATATAATGTAGGGTTAGCGTTTATAAATGAAGTCCAGATGGAGTACAGAGAAATTCACCCAACAGGTCTCATACCGGTGAAAATTAACGATGTCGTTTTTGCCTTACACGCAACTCTGGCCGTTTCTATAATTGTATTTCAATGTCTTGTATATGACAGAGGGAATCAGAATTTGTCCAAACCATTTGGAGCTTTCTTCACTGTCATCTGGCTGACAGGGTTTGTTTTTCTCATATTAATTCTCTCGGGATTGGTAAAGACACGTCCATGGCTAAGTCTGCTCTACTATTTTGCCGCTGTTAAACTTTGTACTACCGTCACCAAATACACACCGCAGGCCATCCAAAACTTCCGCAGGAAATCCACCACTGGATGGAGTATCTGGAATGTGATGTTCGATTTTGTAGGTGGCGTTTTTAGTGTGATTCAAATGGTTCTTCTAGCTTACAACTACAATGATTGGGATTCGATCTTTGGAAATTTTTCAAAGTTTTTACTGGGTGTCGTCTCAGTCTTTTATGATGTCTTATTTATGGTCCAGCATTACAGCTATACAGGATACCAGCCTTTGCCTTCAAGAACTAAATTAGGGTTGAATGTCAACAATGTCTCTGAAGAAACGACTAGAATTAATCCGACATTTGAAGCAGGAGTATCAACGCACTTTCTGCTACTTCATAGCTAGGTATGACCACATAAAACCACTCTTAGCCAAGTGTTTAAAACCCTATGTTTACACGCTGTGCAGTGTTGTGCTGTACTTACGAATATATTAATATTTTTCGTCGTTATTTTAAATTAACTTTATTTTATTTCTACAAAAATTACAGTTTTAACGGCTTCCGGCTGATTCCATTCAATATTTTGCAGAACGTACGTTATTTTGGTTTCAGCTTTTACAGACGAGCGTTTCCTGACTCTTATTGCACTGTTACAACTATTCGTGTATTTTGTTTAATTAAGCAGATCTATATAAGTGTTTTGGTTTCGCTAAATAAGATCCTTTATCATCATTGTCTGTACACAGATCTGTTAATTAAAACGATGAACATACATTCTTGTTCAGATCTCTGCATCACTTGGTTTCATTAAACATTTTGGTCGAATCTTTTACTGGACAAGACATTGTATGTTCATTGTTTTAGGGAACAGGAGTGTCTGTTCAATGTCCAATAGAACAAGACGGTGAATAGTCGTTAATTTTCTGAACAATACTTTGTATGTTCATTGTCTTAGGGAACAGGAGTGTCTGTTCAATGTCCAATAGACAAGACGGTGAATAGTCGTTAATTTACTGAACAATACTTTGTATGTTCATTGTCTTAGGGAACAGGAGTGTCTGTTCAATGTCCAATAGAACAAGACGGTGAATAGTCGTTAATTTACTGAACAAGACTTTGTATGTTCATTGTTTTAGGGAACAGGAGTGTTTGTTCAATGTCCAATAGAACAAGACGGTGAATAGTCGTTAATTTTCTGAACAATACTTTGTATGTTCTTTGTTTTAGGAAAGAGTAGTGTCTGTTCAATGTCCAACAGAATAAGGCTATGAACTTTCCTTGATTTGCCGAACACGACCTTGTATATTTATTGCTTTACTGAACAAGACTTTGTATGTTCATTGTTTTAAAGAACAGGAGTGTATGTTCAATACTCAACAGAATACGGCTACTAATATTCTTTGTTAACTGAACACAGCTTTTTGTATTGATTGTTTTACTAAATACGACTTTATATGTTAATGATAAACTCTGTTAATATAGGTTTTCCTTCATATTTCAATATTTTAAAGGGTAAAAATAAAAAACCGATTTTTGTTGCTACTATTGCTATTCTATGGGAAGCCAAACCATTGTCTAACAGCTAAAATATAAAGCCGTTTATTAGTGCTGTTCTTACTACTACTAGTAGAAAGTTTATAGTTTTATTGCACACTGCTCTAAAATATTTATTTATTGCACTGAATTGTGAAAGATTGTTTAATAAAATCATTTATACTTTCAGTATTTACTGATATTCTAATTCTGAATTTTTTCCTCTCCAATCAAGTAAAATTTTGAATAAGTATTGATTGTCGTTTAAGAGTCATAACGCAGGTGTTTAATATAAATATCGATTAGTACATAAATGTTAAGCTACGACACACGCTCGTTTAGCTACGACACACGCTTATCCTCCCTGAACTATTTCGGTGACCTTGGTAAACAGTTGTCAACTTACTACTAGAAAGACGTTCTTTTGATCTGTTAGCATAGGTATACTTTTTCACTATGAAAGACATACAGTTGAGCTGTTGATATAGGTATACTTTTTCACTATGAAAGACATACAGTTGAACTATTGGTATAGGTATGTCTGTTGCAGCAATAAATATGTGCAGGTACAGAATTGGCATATTTAAAACTGGTTACAATATACAGTAATGGCTATATACAGATCACCTGAAAATTGCTAAAGCCATAACTAGATTAATTATATAGTTATACCAAAGCATTAACTAGGTATTTAGTAGTGTACGTATAGCATTTGGGATACATTTGTTCAGAGTAAGGGTTAAAAAAGACGCACTATTTTCTCCAGATTTGTTAACACTTTATTTTATCCAGGTTTCTTAACACTTTGTTTTCTCCGGGTTTCTTAACAGTTTATTCTCTCCAGATTTTTTAACACTTTATTTTATCCAGGTTTCTTAACACTTTGTTTCTCCGGGTTTCTTAACAGTTTATTCTCTCCAGATTTTGTTAACACTTTATTCTTTCCAGGTTTCTTAACACTTTGTTTCTCCGGGTTTCTTGACACTTTATTCTCTCCAGTGTTTGTTAACACTTTACCCTCTTCGGGTTTGTTAACACTTTATTCTTTCCAGGTTTTTTAACACTTTATTCTTTCTCTGTATTTCCTAACACTTTATTTGCTCAGGTTTGTAACTTTTTACTATCTAGACTTGTTAGCGTTTTCCTTTGTCTAAATTTGCCAACACTTCCCTCAGTCTAGGTTTCTTAAAACTTTATTCTGTCCAAACTCTTAATACTTTACTCTGACCGGGTTGTTTAACCCATTATTCTGTCTAAATATTCTGTCAGATTCATTAACACCTTACTCTTTTCAGGTTCTTAGCATTTATTCTGTCCATATTTGCTAAAATATTCCTCTGTTCTTTGTACTTAACACTTTATTCTGCCCATATTTGTTAACATTTTACTAAGTTCTAGTTACTTAACACTTTATTCTGCCCATATTTGTTAACATTTTACTAAGTTCTAGTTACTTAACACTTTATTCTGCCCATATTTGTTAACATTTTACTAAGTTCTAATTACTTAACACTTTATTCTGCCCATATTTGTTAACATTTTACTAAGTCCTAATTACTTAACACTTTATTCTGCCCATATTTGTTAACATTTTACTAAGTCCTAATTACTTAACACTTTATTCTGCCCATATTTGTTAACATTTTACTAAGTTCTAGTTACTTAACACTTTATTCTGCCTATATTTGTTAACATTTTATTAAGTCCTAATTACTTAACACTTTATTCTGCCCATATTTGTTAACATTTTACTAAGTTCTAATTACTTAACACTTTATTCTGCCAATATTTGTTAACATTTTACTATGTTCTAGTTACTTAACACTTTATTCTGCCCATATTTGTTAACATTTTACTAAGTCCTAATTACTTAACACTTTATTCTGCCCATATTTGTTAACATTTTACTATGTTCTAGTTACTTAACACTTTATTCTGCCCATATTTGTTAATATTTATTTTTGCTGTCACTTAACAGTATATTCTGTCCACGTTTGGTAAAACTTACTTTGTCCATATTTACTAATACTTTATTTTGTCCACATTTTTTAACGCGAACTAAAGCTTGAGATGTTATCTGTTTTCGGTTGGTTGATTCCGAAGTTTCTTAATCTTATTAAATTGAGATTTTGGCAAAGTGGCTTGATATCCCAGCTCTGCAGTCTTTCATTTTCCTTAACCTACGTCTGTTGCTGTTATAGAAGAAGATTTACCGAATAGACCGATTATTTAGAGAATTGATGGCTTTGTGAAATCGAAACTTTTCTTTGTACAAGATTCTCGATTTTCGAAGTAGATTATTTACGTGATCCAAATGGTCAGAACCGTGATTGTGGCCTAAACGTTTAAAGAATGCGTGAGGGTTTCAAATAATATTTCAAAAATTATGGCATGTTCAAGAATTTCTGCTAGTGCTGATTCATTATATAAATTCTTTTTTCATCTGTGTTTCTCGTGATTTCTTATCAAATCATTTACACTCGAATTCTTTTTAAACCTATATTTTTCTCTAAGTTATAAAAACTATAATTTCAAATAAGTCATTTTTATGTGCACCTTAAAATACATTTTGGTTTTACCATATCGTATGTCACATCATTGTTACACTAAGAATAACGATGAACCTATTATTGAACGATAAAGATATCAGTACAAAACTACACTCACCGAGAAAACATATGAGATTTTGTGAGCTTTTGACATTTTTGGATTTTTTTCTCTGCCGAGAACTTAGAATGTTAAGATCATTATCAAAACCGTTAAAACTTTGTCTACGCCACCAGTTATAATCTACAGACTACATAACGACTTTTCTTCCCGAGAAGTTGTGGACTTAGTCCGCAAATACAAGCCTAAAGTCCGCCTAATCATTAAGTGAACTAGAAGAATACGAAATGGGGGAATTTTTCTGCAGTATAAGTCTCCTGAGGACCAAAGATATATATTCCAACTACGGAACTCTATTCTGCAGTATAAGTCTCCTGAGGACCAAAGATATATATTGTAACTACGGAACTCTATTCTGCAGTATAAGTCTCCTGAGGACCAAAGATATATATTCCAACTACGGAACTCTATCCTGCAGTATAAGTCTCCTGAGGACCAAAGATATATATTCCAACTACGGAACTCCATCCCACCCATGAAATGACACCACCACCCCGCCACCTCTCCCAAAATCAGTGCCAGCCTACATATAGTTTTCTTGAGAAATATATACCAATCCAAGAGATACGTCATGCCCTTGAAAAAGATACACACATCAAAATACATGCAGGTTACCAGATTATCTGACAAAAACAACAGGAAATTCATCATACTTTATGAAAATTCTCACCATCTCGAAAAAAACAAAGGAATACATTCTTTCCCGTGGATGCTTCCTTGACATCTTTCACTACCGAGCTGGAAATTCTTACCGTAAACCATGAATCCCAACGACCACCCCAAGTATTCTACCCATGCACTTCTTCGTAACCACCACACAACACCTTGCACTGACCACGAAACAGAGATGCCTACCATTGAAACCGAAAAAAAAGACCAACACACTCAGATAAACGAACAAAAACAATAGATAAGACGACACAGACAATGCATAGAGTAACCCATGAAGCCAGATCATCCTACTCACAGACAATGCATAGAGTAACCCATGAAGCCAGATCATCCTACTCACAGACAATGCATAGAGTAACCCATGAAGCCAGATCATCCTACTACCAGCCAATTATACCAGACTAGAAAACCCAGGCCCATCTAGCTACGCAAAACAAAGGTAATCAAGTTGAAATCTATCCTGAAGCAATATATCAGTCCAAACCACCATGGCCACTCAGAAGTTCATTCTATCTTACACCCCTAAGTGAAGAATCAATCGTGGTGCAACACATTCTCCTTCGTTCCACGCCTTTACTACCTTGACGACTCCCCAAATGACAGACTTCCTTTCACCCAGTAAAAATCATTCCATCTTCAAGAACACCCTGTGGACTTAGTAAACAAAACTGATTTACTCCTTTACCTCTATCATTCCTTCCTCCAATCTTACCCACCAACAGCATTAATCATACCTGGCACAGATCAAGGGAAACATTCGGTGCCTGAGCAGAGAAAGTGGATTTTCTCGGGGTACTCTTGTTTCCACCAAAAGCCAATTCTCCAGGCATAGGATTTATAGATCCCCGCCTCCTTGAAGGACCATAAGCCCAGTGGGTTTCGAGTTCAAGTAAGATAAGGAGAATTTAGCTTTATGCATGTATTCGCACTTTTCCGATCTTCTTTCAATCACGTTATAGCTAACTCAACATTTCACTTACGTTAAAAGCTCACGACTTTCTGTGTTCAGCTCTAATGTGCTATCACGTGCGGGGCGAAAAGAAAGATTTGTCTCCCAATGTTTCCAGTAAACCCCGAGAGATCTCAAATCGAAATAACATTTAAGTAATATGTGATGATTTCAAATAATCCTTCAGTAAAATTTTGTTAGTGATAATTCATTGTATAAATTATTTTTCCATGTGTGTTTCTCATTACTCCTTGTAAAATAATTTATACTCGAATTCTTTCTAAATATATATTTTTCTCTAGGTTATAAAACTCTAAAGTCTCATCAAATCATTTTGATATAATTCTTAAAATACATTTTGATTTTCCTATGTCATATATCACATCTTTGGTACACTAAGAATATTGATAAGCCTATTATTAAACGATAAAGATATTAGTACATACTGAGAGAACATTGTGTATGTCGAAGAAGGCAGTTATATAAATTCAGTGCTTTTATAGACTCACACCATTGATAAGGGAGAAAAAGGGCCCTAGTGGGATAACCAGTGTTATACATTGCTTTGATATTTCATATATGGGTACAGATAATTGGTTTGTAGAAGTACTTTCCTGTATTTTTGACAAAATTCACTAAAAATGAAAATATCATATTTTAGCCTCCAGTGGTTGGCTTTGTTGTTGGAATCTTTATCTAAATGTTTACGATGGTGCATTTTGAATAGTTTACAATGAAGTGTCAGTTTATGATCTATGAGTACTTATTGAGTTAAATTAAGAAATTGAACCTACTTGTACATATATATATACATAAATCAAAAACATTCATAATGAGACTAAACAACCAAAATATTTGCTCATTATCACTTCTTGTCATTAT